GCCTTTCTGTGAGATGAATAATCATGGGAATGGGCGCGCCGCTTGCGCAGGCCATCTATCTGTTAGGCGTATGCTGACAGACTAATCGTGGGAATGGGCACATTCCCAGCAATTATACTCACGATACTCCTCTTTGCTTATACTTACAAGGTCAGTCAGACATTTATAATTCGTCGCAACCAGAGAGGGTTAACAGATTTGTCGGTCAGAATTAGTTAAATGCCAGTACACGGGAAAGAAACACCCCTCCCCCACCTTACACAAATTGATTTGCGCTAAGTTCTGGGAATAGAAAATATTCCTGTGTCCTAACCCACATCTCAACCTGACTCCTATCCTTAACTATAACTCGTGCCTAACGCTCACCATAACTTTACTCCGAATCCTAATTTATTTCAAACTACACACAAAGTCCCCAATATTATGACCGGTTCGTGCTCCATATCTCATCGGGAGGGTAAAACAAGTGTCGTGTGTACGTCCTGTCCTACTTAAATTTCGTTTTCGGACAAAAATGACGGGAACCTGTAAACGAAAGAAAGATCAACCACAAACCGGCACCGCTAGATTTCAGGAAAGCTAAGAGACTTTAAATTCTGCCACATTCCTCTCTGGTTTAAGGTGTCTACATCTACGGATTATTTCTGGATGGTGCTGGCTGGGACCGCAAAAACGCCCGTCTCATGGAACCACAGGCCAAGGTGCTTTATACTCCACTGCCGGTAGTGCACGTATCTGCGATCAGTGTCACCTCGGGAGAGCGCACCCGACCAGTTGTGACCTACTCCTGTCCGGTCTACAAGGAACGCCGACGTACAGACCTAAACTACATATTCCCATTGTCTTTGCGCACTACAAAGGATCCAGATCATTGGATTCTTCGTGGTGTAGCTCTCCTTTGCGATGTTCGCTAAAACCAGGAGAAAAAAATTAAATGAACAATTTTTTTGTTTTTCCAGTTGTATTTGCACTTGTCCTCCATCCCGGAAGCCTATTTGGCTAGTAAAATGATTTTCAATGCTAAAGTTTCTCCTCAACGTGCACTGATGTTGTTATTTACGCAGTGTTCCGTGTTTAACCTTTTTATTGACATCCGAAATCTTTACTATCCAAAGGAGTTTGGGTACAACAGTTAATTCCATCATGACACTCCAATGTTTTAAAGTCTGACTCCAGTGGAGACTTGATCTTGATCTTGTCTGTTTCACTGAAATTTAGAGACTTAAACTGGGTTTTCTTTCTTGACAAGGATAGGAAATTATGTTTCAAGCGGTAAAACACTCAATCATGTCAGTCTGCTAGGCATTTTGCACCTCCTCCCACATATTTTGTCCTTCGCCGCAATTAACAAGGGGTAGTTTGAGCTATTAGCCAGCTATGGTCGACGCCCACCATTCAAACAGTAACATCGGAAGATTGAATAAACATATACTATTCTTCTATTCAGTTGTGTACACGGATGCTCCCTTGGCTTTGATTGTGGCTATATTCTACCAATAATATCCTTTTCTTTCGTCGACGTGTTCTTCGTATGCATGTGCTGTAAACCTACAGTTAGGCAGAATTCTGTAAGGTATTAGACACATGAAATAGTTTTTAATTGCTAATACGAGCGAGCGTGCGAGTCCCAGGAAGTAATGGAGAAGAAGACCACTCGATGCCAGCGATCGAGTCGTCTTCTACTCAATAGTCTGTTGTTCAATTGGCCTGTTATTCTAAAGATAGCTATATCCGGAAGTAATGAAAAGAGAGCGGTTAGAAGCGGGGATGCGGAAGGAGGTATATGCAGCGCAGAATTTCTTAGAGTATAAGGACGACTAACGAGGGTAAGGGCAGAAGTATATGGGAGGTTTGAGCTATTGTTTAGGTGAAAGGTGACAGAGGGCTGTTTCCGGTCTCCTAATCCAAATAAATTTTACTTTCGTTACCTGACATCTATGGGCGTAGGACGTATGTGAAAGTGTCGGCTATATGAATTTTCTTGTCAAATGTCTTTGGACATTTTCAATTATTGAACGGCTTTATTCGTTCATTAGACCGAAGAATGGGCAGCAGTATTATAGCGTAGGAAGCACAAACATACCACAGAGTCTTAACTTAATTTCGGGACCACAGAAATTATAAGAGACAAAGTCGCATTTCTGAACTGCATTGGCCGTCATTCAGTCGGCGTGAGGTAAGAGATCTAATTTATTGGTGTGGCTCAAACCTAAGTCCTTGATGTTGAAAAATTCAGCTCTTAGGCTACCTTGAAATATAACTGGTTGAGGTAGACTTTCAAGTCCAAAGATATATTAGGACGCCTAGGAGGTGGGAAATCCATTAGCCATGTGGAACCCTGCGCGAAATGCCGAGGCGGATTAAGCAGCCAAAAGTGGCGATGTATTACGCAGCGAAAAGTCGCGATATGGCTCGGCCATAACGCTCTCGAACGAACCCCCAAATGCGAAATGGAGCCGAAGGCATTTTACGTTTTAGGAATAAACGTTTATCAAAATGTAAGGATACAAATGCCTTTAAAGAGAACCTCTAGCCCGTAATTGTTGCGCATAAAGGCTGCGTGGAAGGGCCTGGCGTCGGGTCTATGTGAGAAATTAAAATGAAGGCAGTAATAGTTCCAACCTTGATCATCGCCATTTGACGATCCTCCTCTTCCTTGCCGTTTTCTTAAGGTGTCGGGTGTCTTTTAAATAATAATAAATAAATAAATTTTATATTTTAGGCCCGAGACGCCTACTGGTGGAAATCTCCAACAGTTAGACGTAAG